CCTCCCTCAGTCCTGGACTTGCCCTAGTCAGCACAGAAGAGTCTTTTCTGCTGCAGCAGCTTCCTGACAGGAGGAATGTCAGCTCACTCTGCCGCTGCCTGCTTCCCGCTGGAAAGGAAGCCCGGAAACGGAGAGCACTCGGCCCAGCTCTCAGGACCTGCCCGCCCGAGCTGCTGCCACTGGCATGTTCTCGTTTACTGGGCTTTGATCTTCCCTGGAAACACATCTTCCCACCCCAAGGCTCACAGTCCCCAAGGCTCTCTGCTGGGCATCTAGTCTCTTCTTGGTTACCACTAGTGCCAAGGAACTCACTACTTCATTGTTAAATGGGCAGGTGGTAGCAATGTCTCCCCTACAAAGACTCCAAGTAGCCTCCCTCTTCTTCTCTCTCAAGGATCTGTGATCTAAGGGCTGACCTCACAGAGGTAGGGCTGAGTATCTTCTATCTGGCAGAACTTCAGAGACCTGAAGTAAGTCATCAGAGCCCTCCTGCAGTTGCTTCTCTCCCAAAGAAACCCCAGCTATTTCTGAGGGAGATGAGCAGAGAAGTGTATCCTATAATCTCAATAGGAAAGGGCCAAGGTCGTGTGTATCTCTCTCCCTCTTATTTCTGGATCATTTCTTTGGTTCCTCTACATATCATTTGCTCTTTTCCTCTCTCCCCCAAAGACTGATGAGGAGGGTTCCCTGGGGCAGACCTCAACCTCCTTCCAAGGTGGATGGGCTTGGCCAGCAGGAACGAGGACTCACTGGAATGGGGGACATGTCAATCCCTAAGTGTACCCCACCATGGCGGAAAGTACCTGAGGATGTTCAGAGCAGGACGGGCTGAGCTTCTGGCAAAGGGAGCTAGGTCCCTCAGGGATGCCTCTTCCAGAAAAGGCACAGTCTTTTAGGCCTATGACCTCCACTAGCATTTGAATGGAAACACCGGCTACTTTTAAGAGACAGTGGCTAGAGTTTCTCTTTCTCCTTCCACTATTTCTCCTCTTTCTCATGTTCTCTATTCTCTCTTCTTCCTCTAGACAATCAGACATGTACCTACATCAGGATCTCTGACTGCTGCGGAAGAACATGAGGTTCAGGGACTACGTTTAGGGTCTGATTCCAGCCCTCAGCTGCTAACCCTGGGCAGGTCATTCCCCTTTCAGAGTTTCACTTTCCCAGTCAGCCATGCCTCCTCTGCAGAAATGCTATGGTCAAAGTGAAAGTAAGTTGCATGTCTAAAAACACTACATAACTGAAAACAATTATTGGAATTTAAAACTAAACAAGAACAAAAACAGCCTGTACCCAACAATGCTCCCTTCTCCATGACCCCTGCCCTCCCGCAATTCCCCAGCTCTGGACCTAGAAATCCTCATTGGACAGTGCCTCCCCTCAAACCACCTTAGGGCCAAGGAGCTGGGGACCCACCCAGACTAGTGGGCCTGGCCAAAGCCATGCTGACTTCGCCAGATGTGCAGCCCGACTGACTTAAGCTGCATGAAAAAAAAAAATGGCACTGCTTGATTATGTAAAATCCATCTGGATCCAAAGTGAAAAATCCAAGTGGGAAGGGCACTCAGAGACCATCTGGTCCACTCTGCTTCGTCTACTGCTGAGGAAACTGGGGCCCAGAGATGGGGAGCAACTTGCCCAGGGTCACTCAGGGTCATGTGGCCAAGCAGGGGACCAGAACAGGTGGCCTCAGTTTCCAATCCTCCATGTCCTTCCCTACTCCACACCACCACTGCCAGACTTTCCTAGCTTGGTGAGAGTGCTGGATCTAGAGCTTGGGGGTTGGCTGGGCTCCACTCCTGGTAACATGAGCGACACAAACTCAGTTCAAACATTTCCTAGGTCCCCAGTGCTGCCATGTGCTGGGGACACCAATATTAAGGCAAGCTTATTACAAGGAACACACAGAATTACAATGTCTTTGCTAAGTTCTACCATGACCTAAAGAACCCCACAATATTCCCCAATAGTGAGAGATGGTCAGGTCCCAAACCACCTCCTTGCCAGCCCTCAACTTGATACCAAGCACATATTATGCCACAGGACCACAGGCACTGTCCACCTCAGAAATCCCAACAGCAAATAAAGAAGAGCGGACAAACAGAAGCTAACATGGGAACAGCCAAACCTTCTGGCCCCAGGAGCAGCCTCGCAGCTTGGCAGTCAGAGACCTGAGGAAGGGGGTCCCCTGTGTTGCTTTCTAAGGGGCTGGTATGGCGAGGGTGGCCAGCTGGTCCCTCCCACGCACCCTGGAGGCCCCAACTAAATTTAGCACCAACTAGGGGTGAAGTCCTGACCTGAAAACCAGGCTGGCCACCTTGGGACGAGGTCTGGTCAAAGCTGGATCAGCCAACCCAGGCCGGCTCCTTGGTGCCAAGACCCTCTTGCAGCAGAGCTGACTGCCAAGCTGTGGCCAAGCAGGGGAAGATGTGCAATTGTTGGCAGTAGATAAAACCTTCGATATCATCTCTATTTCTCTTCTAATATAAGAGTGGCTGCCTGCAATGATGAGTTTGGGGCAGGGCCAGCAATCAATAGCTAATATTCCTCTTATGAGTGGCCTGCTCCGGAAATGGGCAGCCACTACCTCCTTCCAGAGAGATACCCTTTCCTGCAGCAGTGACCCAGCCCAAACAGTTCAGCATCCCAACCAGGAAGGACCTCATCCGCCTTCACCTGACTGATGGAGAAACGATGCCCCTTGGCTTGGGGGGTGGGAGGTGGGGATGGGGGTCAGCCAAGAGGCTGGGGCACACAGCCCCCTACTCGATGTTTCAGAAAGCTCAATGGTTCACCGACTGGGGATCAGAGAAGACCTCAAGTCAAGAGGGTGGGTTGAAAAGTCACCTCTGTCTGATGGTAGCTGGTGGTGGCTAAATAAGGACAGGAATCAGTCTGGGCTCTCTGACCACACAGCCCTGAACGTCACAGGGGAGGGCCGAAGAAGTATGTCTGGAATTAGGCCTTAACCATGGACATTGTACCAAAGCAGGAAGCTGGGAGCTGCCCACATATCAGGCAGACCTCTCCTTGCTCCAGACTCAGGCTAAAATAGAAGTCAACGGCCTATTTTAAAAAATGCAGCTGGCTGTTATCCATCTACTCTTGCCATAGTGGCCTGTACTGGGTACCCAGATGCCAGTGAGCAGCCTCAACAGGATCCACACAAGTGGAGCCTGGTACCTGAGTGGGCTCTGTTCACTAAGCAGGGAAGCCACATCTGCACTGTGTGAAGGGCATCCATGGCACCATTGGTGAGGACATGTAAGCCTGGGAAAGAAGTCCTAACCAGACAGAACACCATGGGAAACACCACCAGCTGGGCGCAGAACACTCCTCTGCAGTGCCAGAAAGGCAGCCCTCTCAGACAGTATTCCCTTGGGTTTCCTCTCTGGGGGGAAAGGCAGAAGCCCGCCAGGCTCCTGTCTTTCTTGGGTCCACAGGTATCCAAGGATTTGAATGTCTTACTCTCTCTGAAGCCTGGCCCCTTTTCCCAATGCCTGTGGCCTTACCCCAAGCCACGCCCCAGGCAATGCTTGGTCTGGTCCAACCTGAAGCCTATATACTGATTTTTCAGGTTATACCCATTTCCATCCCTGAGACAAGGCCCCAGTTCGGAGAGTACGCTAGGAAAGCTTATAGACACATGTGTGGCCAACCAGTGCCCTGAACTTCCATCCCTAAATCCCTCTAACCGCCACCTTGGTGGGCAATCTGCAGTTTCTGTTTTGGGGGAACACCCAAGTTTCACTGATTCCCTTTCCTGTCTGGTAAGCAGCATTTCCTAACCCTCCTCTCCTTGGAGTTAACATCAACCAAAATGTGAAATCCTGCAAAGGAGAAGTGTCCTTGAGCTCATCTCCCACCCAGGAGGAAATCCCCAGGAGGTGTCTGCCCTGTTTTTGCTCAGGTACTTCCAGCGCCAGGGAGCCCCCGCCGCCTGCATCACCAATGGATGCACAGGGTGTGACATTCTGGCTGTCACCAAGCCAAAGTCTCCTCGGAATTCACCTCACTGGTCACAGTTTTGAATTCTTGGATTTCACAGAGGAATTTCTGCCTTCTTTTCCACACAACCACTCTTTCCATATTCTTATCTGAAAGCTCCAACATTCCAAAAGCTGCGGGGAACTCAGGCAGATTCTCAAACTTGGCCACAGACAGGTCTGAAAGAACATCATGCTCGAGAGCTTCATCATATAAAAGTTCCTCCAGCCCTGCACGCCAATCCCTCTCCAAGGGCCTTTCCTAGTTTCAATCTGGTTTAAATCGAGTAAGTCCCTGGAGGGGACAACAGAGATGGAGGAGGAGGCGTCGAGGGTGTGGCAACCACACACAAATTGCAAAGCCCCCCAAGAGCCCAACAAGGTGTCTTTTGGGGAAGGCCAGGCCCTCAACCCACGTGAGACCTGCTCCTGCCCTGGCAGGCAGAGTGCGGGCACAGATGCTTGTGGGACCCTGTCTGTGATCACATTCGGAAAAAATCAAGTGGCTAACCAGAGGGAAAGGATTTCGAGACCTGCCAGGATGGTGGGGTTTTTGTTTTTTTAGAGTACGCCTAAGGTTTGTAGTTTGGATAAGCAAAGTAAACAATGACAACACAGCAGCAACAAAACAGAAACAAAGAGCAGTATACTTGTCGTTGTTGTTGTTTTTTAAGCCTTTTGTTAAAAGACAGCTCCACGCGGACTTGGAAGCAGCCCCGCCGCCTCCCCGACCAGGGGTGGGCTGTGTCGTGAGTGCGAAGCTGGTGTGAAGAAAACAAACTCCAGCAGAAGTGACACAGCACATGCAGGAGGTGTCTGCTCCCCATCTCTGTCTTTTCTCCCTTCCTCGGTGTTTGGAAGAGGTGGAGAGAGGGATGGGAAGGGAAGGGCTTGAACCAGCATAAAGCAACTGTATTTAGACCATGGCAAACTGAGCTACTACTACTTACTTCTCTCTCCCTCCCTCCCGCCTGCCCGGGGCCTGGCCTGGAGTGATGGGAGGACAGGACGTACCTGAAAGAAACCTGGTGGGATGGGGCCTCCCGGCATCCCATCGTTGGGGGGAATGTTGCCAAGCACGGGGCTTGGTGCGGCTGCTGCGCTCTGTGGAGACAGGAAGGTGGAGAGTGAGAGGCCGCATCCACAATGGGAGACAGGGAGCTCCCACCCCTGGGTCCACCCTCCGGTGACTCTCCTGTCCACCCTCGCCCTCCACAGACCCCCTTCACACACCACCTTCCCAGGTGTGTTACTCAGTGGATGAGCCTCCATCGCCTCACCTCTAAAACAGGAGGGCCATGCCCACCACAGCAGCAACTGTTATTAAGCAAGGATGCCCTGCCTTCCCCACTCAGCTGCTTTATGAAGCTCCTTCAGGACAGGTGAGGGGCTGCATGAATGTCTGTGCCCTCTCCAAGAGGCTGGCATGCTCTACAGAGCAGGAGAGCAATAGATATCCATGACTTAAAGAATAAACAGTCAGCCCAGCTGGGAAACATCCCTGGAGGGTGGAGGAGGGCCCCGTCAGGGTCCGGGTGCGGTGGGAGATGAGGCGGGCTGCATGATGCGGGGGACTATCATTAGTTTTCTGTTTAAATGCTGCTCTTCCGGCATTTACCTGGTACATCTGCCTCAACAAATGCCTCCCAGGGGTGAACAGACGTTGCTCTTCCCAGCCTGGCCTCCTTCCAGACAATCTGTGTCCCACCTGCTCATGTGGTCGGCGTGTCCGTGCCCGGGCCCGTGCTCGCACGGACGGGTGAGACTGTGCAGGAAGCCCCGGGCCTGACTGGCCTACCTGGGCCTGGGCCCTGCTTCTCCCCACCGCCTACCCCCAGCTCTACAGCTCACAGATGCTCCTTCTGCAGGAAGCCCACCTCCAGCCTCGAAGGTTCCCTTACCCCACCAGGACAGAGACTCTGAAACTGAGTCACCAGTTATCTTCCAGGGGTCTGACTGGTTCTCTGGGACAAGGGTCAGCCCCTCGGAGTCAGGAAATGGGTGTCTCTTCAGTTACAAGTGCAGCCTGCCAACACCACCTTGAAGAAGTCACTTCTCCTGCCTTCTCCTGAGTCTGGAACTAGGACCCAGACCTCCAAACTTACAACTCCCATGGGAGGAAATGAGGGCACGTGTGAATCCCCCAGACACACTGCATGCAGCAAGATGGACAGACAGCCATGGGAATCCACACAGCAAGGGTCGAGCGCAGCCGACGTGGGCAAGCCACTCAGCTCTCCTGTCCCTGGTGTCCCACCTGCTCCTAAAGGTTGGGGAAGGCTAAGGAACCAGATGGGTTACATTTTGTAAACCACAGAAGTAATCTGGAAGCGGAGAGGACTCATGCTGGGCCTGCCCTGGCTGTTGTGACAGACCCCAGGTAAAGAGAACAGGGTGGTATGGGGCTGCCCAACACTCCAAAATGATTCTGCCTACAGAAATGCAACCCCCTGTGTAACAGAGATTCTGCCAATCACACTGGGGTGTGTTACAAACATCTCAAAACATCTTGGAGCAGGGCTTCCACTCCCCACCGCCCCAAGTTGGAGGCTGCAGCCCCAGCCCAGCCCCTGCCCCAGTGTTCTCTGGGATGAGGGCCGCCTGGGGGAATGGGCCAGGTTATCCATTAGCTGCATTGTTTGTTTGCGGTTGGTGGTTCTGTGAAAATGCAACTTTTCATGATTTACAGCCAACAATTACCCCTCAGGAGCAGGAGCAAAAAAAGATTTTTAAAAAATGGGGTGAGGTAAGAGGTGGGAGGATACAGCTCAAGTGGCAGAGCACATGCTTAGCATGCACAAGGTCCTGGGTTCAATCCCCAGTACCTCATCTAAAGATAAATAAGTAAATAAAGCTAATTACCTCTCTCCCCACCCCAAAATAATGAGGTGAGGTAAACATCCACCTGTGTTTTCTTCAAGCTCTTTCAGAGACTGGTTTTATATTTAACTCTTCAATCCTTCTGGAACTTATTTTGGTAAAGAATAAGGGTTTTACTCCTCTAATAGTCAACTGGTTCAGGTTGATTTTTTTCCCCACTTATGTGAAACCAGAGACAAAATTCTTAGAAAAGTATGGTTGTTTCTGAGCTTTTAGAACTCTGGCCTGTGTCCCTAACACTCCATTCTAATGATAAGAGTTTTACAATGTATTTTATCTCCTTCAATTCTTTCACTGACGTTTTCTTGCTTATTTTTATCTATTTATCCCTCCAAACTTCCTATCATTATAAAAGTCACCTTCCTACCAAAAGAAAAAAGTTCTTATATATATATATATATATATATATATATATATATATATATTTGGAGGAGAACTGACATCTTTCCAAAACACAGCCACCTTCCCAGGGCACACTCTTTCTCCGATTATTCATGTCTTCATTCAAGTCCCCCAGTCAAAGCAGGGTGGGTGGACCAATGACAATGATCAAAAAGGTGGGTGAGAGCAGGCAATACATTTGGGAAAGCCCAAACCCTCTCTTGCCCTGACTAAATGTTTTTTACTCAACAAATGTGGCGCTGACTTGCTCTTGGGGTGAGGGTGGAAGAGATGGAGCCCCTGCCCATGGTGTGAGAAGGATGGAGCAGAGGCCCGGCCCTGGGCGGGGTGGATGGCAGGGGCCAACTGGCCTGATGCTCAGAAATGGGCCGGATACTTTCACACCATCTCTCCCTGAACCCCCAGATGGCCTTCTGGGGCAGACACAAGCACCCCCACTTCACAGACGAGAAAACAAATCTTGATGTGGACAGCAGGCTGAAGGTGACCTTTCTCCATTTGTCTGCCTCAGAGTCCAGACGTACTCTTCTTCAGCCTTCAGCCCAGAAACAATGTTTTGTTTTTAAAGAAAGATCTGGGAAGCTTCAGCACTTCAGTTCTTTAAATTAGCATTTACTGTTTAATATAAAATAGCCCCCTATTATAGAATATGGCAAAGTAAAAAGAAAATTAGTCACTGCATTTTGTTAAATAATGTCATGAGCACTTCCCCCCTTCTCATTAAATGGTCAAAGGAAATATGATTTTTAATAAGCCTAATATTATACAGAGGTATCATCATTCAACCAATTTAATTAACAGGCATTAAATCAGTGTTTGCTAACTCAGTAGTTACAAAATGAGATCTCTCTGACCTCTTTGGTATTTTGACTTAATCTTTTGGATCACTACCCTTTTGAAATGGCTTACACTGGTCATTTGTAAAATAAATAATAAAACATTCATGCTTTGTTATTTAGGTATTTGATTTTTCTCCCTTAGTGATAATAAGAGCTCTTTATATATTAAGGATACAATATATGGATATGTTATTATTTTTTTAAAAGCCTCTTAAATGAAAACTTGAATATGGGTGCATGACTTACGAGGCTCCCTCAACACCAGGATCTCGTTTTCCTATGAAATCAGGAGTCCATGGTTCTAGGAAGTGGGGGTGCGTGGGTGGGTGGTCCCTGGTCCTTTGAATGTTTGGGCTGGGGTAACCATGGCTCTAGTAAATGGATGACATCAGGGTTGGAGCATGGACTTTTGCTACCCTCCAATGAGAGGGCCATGTTAGCAGTGACTCAGGTGTCAGGGAGCTGAAGCGATAACTTATCCTTAAAGGCTCTTCCAGCAGCAAAATTAAGTAGATCTGCAGAGCTTAACTCTGTGCCCTGAAGAATGACGGTTATTGTTTTTCTTTGATTTTGAAGCAAACATGTGCTCATAATGAAAAACTTTCAAAAGGGGAGAAAAGTACAAAGAAGAAAATGAAAGCAACAACCAGTGTCAGAGAGCGACAAAAGGGTTAAATAATTCTTGCATACAAAACCTAACCCGAGGGACCCCATCACCACATCTGTCAACATGACACTGCCCTCACTCCATACCTCAACAGCTGGGGCTGTTTTGCCCATCTCTGAGAGCCAGCACCATGTGAGGCATACAGCAGGTGTTCAATAAATGATTATAACCTTTATTATTCAAGGACCTGCTCAAACCTGGCCATCTGGAGCCAAACCTTTCTGGATTGCTAGGAATCGGCCTCTCCCTGTGGTTTCCAACTTCGAGTTAGAGCTCCATTAAGGCACTCAGCAAAGCGTCTCATGTGAGTTTTCTCTAAAAACACAAAACCCACACCAAAACCCCCTGACATTCAATGAGGCCTACAGCATGCCGGGGCTGTGGTAGGTGCTCGGGACAGGACTCCCCCACAGGAGTAGGAGAGGAAAGAGCTCTAGTCTCAGAAGCCAGACATCTACTGCGTGGGTTCGGGTCCTGGCCGGAAGACTGTGGGCAAGTCCCTTCTCGCTCTGGGCCTCAGTTTCCCGATATGTCCAATGGTGGAGTTAGAGAAGATGACCTCTAGGGCCCTTCTTCCAAGCTGCTCTCCCCAACCCAGTCCACACACCATGGGGGCAGGGACTGGAAAGAGCAGCTCCTGCATGAACAGAAGGACCCTGAATTTTAACTCTTCTCTGTTCATTATAGAACACTTAATGGTTAAAACTTAAAAACCACCCAGAAACTTGTTTGTTATCAGAGCCTGCAGATTCTAGCTGATGACGTCTGCAAGGGGAGAGTGTAGCTCAGTGACGGAATGTATGGTTAGCATGCACGGGGTCCTGGGTTCAATCCCCAGTACCTCCATAACAAACCAAAAAAACAGCTGATGAAGCTCGGACTCTCCCCTGCATCCAACCCCTGGCCCTCCTCACCAGCATTTCCCTGTATATGCATGTATATCTGGACTGAAAAAAGCAGAATCAAATCGGGCAAGCAGTTTGGTAACTTGTGCATTTTTAAAACTAACTAAAAATTCTTTTCTAAATAGAAAACAGGCCTTATACTGAGCAGTGTGGCCTACTCCAGCCAACTGCCTCCTCTAAGCCTCCGGGATATTGTCCACTTGGAAAGCCCGAGGTGCCTTCAGACATCTGCCTGAAGCTGTGAATGAAAATTCCCCTCCCTGCGAAGTTTTTTATTTTGTTCACAGCCAGCGAGACTTCTAGGGAGGGCTCATCCCACAACTTTTCCCCTAAAGAGCAAGGCTTCTTTGGGGTCCCAGGGTGGTTACACCACCACTGGGGCTCAGGGGTCACTGTAGCCCCTCAGCCCCGTTCGTGTGCTCCAGACACACACCAGCTGATTTCACACAAGCCCCTTCATCCAAATCTGGTTGTCAACAGTGGGGAGATACCCAGACACCTCCCCTGCCCAAGAATAAGCACATTCTCCTGTCGCCCTCCCTCTACCCTCCCCTGGTGGAGAAGCAGGGTTCAAACATGGGGCCTTGGGATCTAAGCAACTGGGAGGAACCAGGACACTCTGCTCCAGGCAATGGGGAAGGGTTCCAAGCAGAAGAGCAGCCATGGCTTCTGAGAATCCCACCTGACCCCCTCTGACCCTGTGCCAGGCATCCTGGCGCACCACTGACAAACCTACCCACCACCACCAGAGTCCCCAGGGCTCCACGGAGAGACAGACTTGGCCAGCCCTGGATGTGGTGCTGGGCCCTTTCCTGGCTCTGTAGCAAGAAGCCCCCTGCACCTCCACGAACAGCAGGTCAGTCCACAGGAACCAGGAGACAAGCTCTCATCTCATACATACCTTGTGGTAGGTGACAAACATTCATGCTTCCTTCAAGAAGTGGGGATCTGCGGATGTCCCCTACATAATGTTCTGTTCCAGCCTCATCCCGAGACCCCCAGTTATCCTCACTCATAAACTAGCATGGGATCCCCCAAACCATTTTTACTCTCTTTTAAAAATAATTCTATGCACATGAAGCTCTTGGAAAATAGAATAAAAACAAATGCTCAGAGTGAACGGCGGGACTCCTGCCAGTTCGGCCAACCCCTCCTGACTGATTTACAAGGCTGCAAAATGGAACTTTGTTCTGCAAATCCCTTCCCTCCTTGCCCCACCCCAACACTCAGGCGTGTAGCAGCACGGGGCCCACATGTGAAACCAAGTGCAGCCTTCCTTGACTGAAACTCAACACTGGCCACGTGGCTGAGCACCCAGGACATGAGGGGCACGTGGTGTGGGGCTGTGTGCTCACAGCTGGGCAGCGGAGGGCACACCTGCACTGAGACACGAAGGCCTTTGAGGAAGGCTTGTGTCCCAGGGAGGGTGGAATGCCTACACAGGCGTCATCAAGACAGAGGCCTCAGCATTCTGTGCAAAATACTGGACTGACCGGGGGCCTTCTGGGCCAAGTTTCCTGGAAGGAACTTTAGCAGCATCAACAAACTGAAGATGTAACACAGGGAATGGAGGGAGTTGCATCACCCAGACAGAAAGGCCAAGACCGAGAAAAGCAGGGGTCAAAAGAGAGGAAGGTACAGGGAGCAGCCTCTTGGTTTTAGGTACAGACCACAGGAGAGAATACATTTGGAGGACAGAGGCTCTAGTTCTGCACCCTGGAGAAAACACAGAGATGTTGCCACGTGAGGAGACAGAACCAGCTGGCGTTAAATAGGTTCGGATGACACGGAGGAGTGACACAGGATCCCTGCCTCCAAACAGCAAAGGGGCCATCACGTGCAAGGAGAATTGGATATACTTTCCCGTCACCAAAGGATGGTCCTCAGTCCAGGCGCCGATACTCTGCGCTACAAAAGGCTTCTCCAGATCTGACCATCAGGGTGAAGCGGTGGGCCATGTTACCTTGGGGTGGTTCACAGTGGGGACAGGGCACTAGCACAGTCCAGATCAGAGTATGTGGGTTTCCTCTCTGCTCTGCCACAACAAAGCTACGAGCCACAGCTCAGCCTCAGTCTCCCCTCTGAGAAGGGGAGAGCCAGCCACGTTACCCAGCACCATTTGGCACTTCCTGGGAATTCTTATGACAGAAAAGAGCCCTGGACCAAGGGTCCTGGGATCAGGGTTCCAGCTCTGGCTACAAGCCACCTGCTGTGTGACTTGGGTGAGCCTTCCTGCCCCTAGGCCTCTGCTCAGCTCCAAGTGAGGCAGCTGAGGTCCAGCTGCTACAGGGAACCAAGTGGGCATCATGCTGAGCTCTCAGCCAAGCAACCTGAGAAAGGGCCACGTCCAGGTGACAGAAGTTCCAGCTTGCCACGGTCAGGCCATCAGGCACAAGTGAGGGGTGTCCTAACATCAGAGCTTCTTCCCCAAAGCCCCCATCTCACTTCTGTCTCCCGGGGTGAGAGGACGGATGCAGGAACACAGAGAGGGCACGCACAGAGAAGCAGATGGCTTTTCATCCTGATCCCAGACTGTGGGAGAGGAAAGGGGGTACTAGTTACTCCTCAACATCCCTGGGAAGGGGTGACTGCCGTTTACCAGCAGGAAAACAGGCCCAGAGAAGTGCATCATTATAAATGCTCTAACTTTAGTCTCTCTGTCCCTCCACCCCCAATTCAGGTCTGAGAAACCCCCCAAAATTGCCCCATTTTCCTGTCACCAACCCCTGCAGTTCTCAAGAAGAGTGCTGTGTGCTCTTTGATGTTTATGAAAGGAAACAACAGACAAATCATTACAAACATAAGGTAAGCACAAGGCATTCTCTACATCTGAGATCATCCACATGTTTTGCTCTTCCCAAAGCAGACTGACCTTCTAACTCTGCTCCTTCCAGGAAACATTTCACTGAGTTGGCCACCACTAAAGGGGTATGGGGTGTAGGGTGTGTGTATGTGCGCGCGCGTAAGACTCCACTGAACAGTCTGCTGGATCTAACTGGCAAATTACCCTGGGAAGAAAGGAGAAAAAAGGTAGATGGGGAGCTTACAGAGGTTATGAGTGCTTTATACACGTTGATGTGTTCAGCAAACACTGGCGCCTGGGCTGCCAGGGATGCGTGGTGCCCGCCGGGATGGGAGATGACAAAGGCCCGGCTCTGCCCTCAAAATCTAGGGGATGAAATGAGTGGGAGCGACAGAGAACTGAAGGATGTGGGAAGGTGCTCCAAGCGGGCGCTGCGAGGCAGGGATTAGGGGGATCAGGGAAGCTTTATGGAAGAGGTAGCACTCGAGCCTGGGCCTTAAAGGATGGCAAGACTCGAAGATGCGGGAGGTGACAGGGAGGTGAGAGATTACCACTGTCATCTTAACCCTCCCCTGGACCAGGCCCCTTCTGACAGCCTCTCCTCAGAGCGTAAATCCCGCCACGCCTCTGCCTCCCCAGAGCTCCACTCCATCCCTGGTTGCTAGGGTGGGCGAGGGGCTTACTCACTTCCCCTCCCCCCAAAAGGGGGCCTCTTACGCATATGAGGAGCGGGCCTCCCACCCTGCCCACCCAGCTTGCCTTAGCACAGTGCATCCAGCTCCTCTCCTGGATCTTCCCAACAATCTGGCAGGGACTACAGATAAGAGAAGGGAGGCTCAGGGACTTGTCCAAGGTCCCTCAGCTCAAGATGTGTAGAAAGTCAAGCCCAGACCTTTCAGCTGTGTTCCGGCTTCTCTGGTCTAAGTTTGGAAATTGATGCTTAAAGATGCTGCCCAGGGACAGAGAAGTCCAGTTCTAGGCCCAGCTGCTCCATCCTCCAGCAGCTGGGGTACATGGGCACCTCGCTTTACCTTTCTGAGCCCTTCACCATCATCTGGAAAGGAGTGGGGCGCTCTACCCTCTACAAGGGTGTGGGGGACCTAAATATGACTCCTCGGGTAAGGAGCTCAGGTGCAACAGGTGCTCAGTCAGAGGAAGCCCCTGAGCCAGCAACATGGCACCAGGCGTGCTTTTTATGATTCCATGAACACGAAGCAGGCCAGGGCACAGAAGGGATCGGGGCTATTGGAAGACAAAGTCCTCTGCTTGACAGAACTCAGTCTTCTGAGGCAAGACCTCTCTTTACCTTTTTAAAAAATGAAAGAAAGGCACCCCAGATGGAACATTTCCAAGAGAAAGAGGAACTGGCTTCTCTGTGCTGAGAAGGTCACGGCTACCATCCCACAGAGCCCTGCCCATCCATCCCAGGAAGCACCCGGCTTCTTCTGGGAATTAGATCAAAGGGCACAGTTTGTGTAAGAGGTGGAGCCACGAGTCATAATACCTGGTTAAACTGTGGATGCTGGCCAGGGCGCCCTCGTCCATGTGCAAACACCTCCCCGGCTGGGCTGCACGGCACAGGGCGCGGGTCCTAGGCGTGTACACCCAAGACAAGGGAGATTAAGGGCCAGAGGTGCCCCCTGCAAATGAACAGTGCGGAGTGGATCAACAGCACGCTGTTTGTACAACGCTGATTTCCTTCTTAAAGAGAGATGAGCTTCAGGCCCTGGTTTACACCATTAGCAAAACACACACACACACACACACACACACACACACACGCGCGCGCGCGCTTCCCACTGTCTTAAAGGAGCCTCTTACAACCGCAAGCATGTCATTATAGGCCAGTGACAGCTCCCTAACAAGAACACTGGCAGTTGCTTCTGAAAAGTGGAAAATTCCCTGGCATGGGCCCGCACACACACTCAGTTCCAGTGACAACTTAATCCTGCCAGGCCTGAGGTGTGCAGAGAACAAAAAACCTGCTTCTACAAACTTTTTTTTTAAGTTTAAAAGAAATCATTAAAGGCAAGACCCCCAGAACACTTTTCAAGAATGAGGGCTCACACATCACTCAGCTGCACAGATTCAGTGGGGACAAAGTCACCTTCCCTCGGCTCGCCCTCTGCCATGACAGGACAAGGTGCAGAGTCTGGAAAGTTCACCAGGGTCCCCTCACATCAAAGCTAAGGAGTTTACACTTGGCCGGGGAGGGGTGTGTAAACGAAGGGGCCGGGAATCCTCGGGCTCTCCTGGCGGGCCAGGAGGGAAGCCTCAAGCAGCCCACTACTGGGGTTTGCAGGCACGCAGGCTCAGTGCTGAGCAGATGCCATCTAAGCCTTTAAAGCACGAACTAATTGCACTAATTTAGCTAACAGTCTCTGTTCAGTCCCCCACCCCGGTCGACCAGAGTCCTTTGGTACTGCTGGAGAGATGCAAGCTGTTGGCCTTACTGTTATTTTGTCAGCCATTAAACGATTCATCGGAGTCATTAATTGATTTATTACTGCTGCCTGCTCAGAGGGTTTAGCAAATAAGGAATGATGTCGGTCACAACGCAAAGGAAACTGGAGCAAACAACACCACGAGAAGCCAGCCGCTGTCCACTCGGGCAGCCCTCTAAGCACGACTGTCAGACCGCTGACCGCGTAGCTGGCTCTTCTGCTTGAAATCCGGGTGCCACTCTGCCTCTAGCTCAGGTGTTTGTGCTGTCCAAGATGCAGTAGGTAGAGTACCTTGTCCGGAGGCTCCTGAGCACCTGCCAGGCGTGGTCACCAGCAAATGAGAAATGAGGGGGAGAGAAGCTTATGCCAGCCCCTCACTGGTGGGTGCTGGGTTGCAATGGCTGGGTCTGTGGCTCGGCCCTTCAGGGCACTGGGAAGTCAGAAAGAGGGCCCCAGCCAGGGCTCCACTCCTCTGGAGGTGGCATGCTCCAGCCACACCCTCCCTCTCTCCCTCTGCTGCCCACAGGAGTGACAGGATAGCAACCCCTGACAGTAACAGGTGCCTCCTAATGCCTGGCCCTTTAGTACTTCCCTCTGATCCCCTCTCCAGTCCCAGTATTGTCCCTGTGTTACAGAAAAGAAGACTGAAGCTCAGAGAGCTGACCTGCCCACGGTTACACAGTAGGCCAGGAAGTGGCCAACCTGGGATTCGAACCCAGGTCTGCCAGGTTTCAAAGCCCATATTTCTTCTCCTCTAACCAAATTCTTCAGCTGCCACAGAAGGGCGCTACAGCTCAGCTCAGCAACGATAACCCCAACAAAAACTAGCTAGCTGAATGAGAGCAGGGCAGTGCCTCCCGCCCAGAGCCCCAGGTGCCCGGAGCCACAGAG